CTATGTGTGTGTGTGTGTGTGCGTATGTGTGTTTTTGAACTACAAACTTCCCATGATTTTTCTCGAACGCTCATATCTGCTCAAAGTGTATCTTAACGTAAACAAATGGCATAATCTATTATGAAATGGACTAAATCCGACAATTATTTTAATATATTTTTGTTTATACGTTAGTTTCATAGATAGAATGTTTAAGTAAATGCTCTGTTTATAATAAACAATAATTCAAGTAATTCAACCTGGCTAACCGGACGCTTCCTCTGTAGCTAAATGGTATAGCACGTAGGGCTATATGACGGTTCCGTATAGGATACAGATTCCATTTCAGTCGGATGGCATACATTTTATTTGAGATTTCTTGGACATTCACTCCGGTAAATGTTGTTAATACTGTTTATTATAAACAGAGCATTTGCTTAAATGTTTTTATCTATAAAAATAACGTATATGCAGAACATATATTTAAATAATTGTCGGACCTAGTCCATTTTATAATATACTATGCTATTTGATTACCTTAAGATACGCTTCGAGCGGATATGAGCGTTCGAGAAAATCATGAGTTTGTGGTTCAAAAACAGTTATTCATCCTTAAACCATGTATATATATATATATATATATATATATATATATATATATATATATATATATATGCTAATGACATAGGTATTTATAGTTGGGATAAAATGATCTTGAGTCCCCCAGCAAATTATTTATTAAGTGTTTCAAAAGAAGAACTTAACAATAATCTTTTCTAAATCAGAATTGTTTGATTGATTCGCTTTTTACGGCTTATAAACCCTTTGTAGGTTATTTAAAGCCAGAAAATATTTTTAGAGAGCGTAAGAATTTTTGTGGAGAGATAATAATGGTTTAGTTCAACAAGATTTACTAATTAACCCATATCTGGGGGGAAGGGTGTATTCTTGACTTTCCAAAAGCTATTTGCGCGTTATTGAATATAACGAACCCAATGGGGATTAGAACTCGGCTCTCCGATTAATTCCGAGCCATTAACCATTACACCACCCGCACACTTAAGTTTACAGCACCTGGCATTTTTACTATAGAAATATATAATAAAAAAAAAACTTCTTGAAGCTGGGGAGCGAAGCATATTGTCATATTTTAAGCCAACTATGGGGTCTCCCTAAAACCTAGACATATAAGCAAAATTGCATATTTTCAAGAAATGGAATTTTCAGCAACATTTTATTGAATTCGAATATTAACAAATAACAACTCCAATATGATTTCAAATCAAGACACAGATGAAGTTTATTTTGTGCTAGGGAAACAGTTAATTTTTTTTTCGTATATAAATTAATAATATTAAAGCCAGAAAATATTTTTAGACTGTAAGAATTTTTGTGGGGAGATAATAATTGTTTAGTTCAACAAGATTTACTAATTAACCCATATCTGGGGAGAAGAGGTGTATTCTTGACTTTCCGAAAGCTATTTGCGCGTTATTGTATATAACGAACCCAATGGGGATTAGAACTCGGCTCTCCGATTAATTCCAAGCCATTAACCATTACACCACCCGCACACTTAAGCTTACAGCTTACAGAAATATATAATAATAAAAAACTACTTGAAACTGAGGAGTGAAGCATATTGTCATATTTTAAGCCAACCATGGGGTCTCCCTAAAACTTAGACATATAAGCAAAATTGCATATTTTCATGAAATGGAATTTTCAATAAAAATCTTGTTGAACTGGAATATTAACAAATAACATTTTCAATATGATTTCCATCATTTGTGAAGGCAAAGGTTGATGCACTTTGCAAGATTCACATGAACTCGATGCAATAACTTCACATTGCTGTCAATTTTAGCATATTCACTTTTTATACATTCAGTTAAGGGAGTTGCCTTTGTGTTCTTCATTGAGTACAGCTTCTCCTTTAGTACACCCCAGAAATAGAATTCTTTCTTTTTTCGACAAAGGACGCATTCCAAAAGCGACGATTACGAGACAGGAGGATTTCTTTGGTAACAAAGAAGAAAGAGCTGCTACGTGACATTTGTCCTCTTTTACGGCAGCAAATGTTGGCCGGTCTCCTGAACAAGAGACTCGAGGCTGGGAAGCTATGGTTCTACAGAAGGATGATAAGGATACCATGGACCGAGTGTGTGAGCATCGATGAGGTTTTTGGAGAGGATGCAAACAAGGAAAAAAGCTTATGCTTAACATCAGGAAGAGGCATATGAAATTTCTGGGACACGCGTAACGAGAAAGAAGTGCTTGGAGAATCTGATACTCACAGGTCAAATAGAGGGAAAGAGAGACAGGGGAAAGCAATGCATGACATACTTGTCGGGTTTAAGCAAATGGATGACAGAACGTGGTCGGTGGGAGGTGGCAGAAGGAGGAAACTTATTGAGAGCTACAAGGGATAGGGGGAAGTGGAGAGCCATGATCGCCTACGTCCTGAAGAGAGACGGCACATAAAAAGAAAAAAGAATCTGAATTTATGTGATGAGAAGTT